GTTAAAAATTTTCTTAGACAATTATATGATAATGAAAAAACTATGGAAATGGATCAAGATGAAGAACTTGACAACAATGCTCATAATTTGAAAAACAAAACACCTGATGAATATATGGTCACTACAAATCTACTATATATACTATATTTGTTAAGATTATTAGAAAAAGAAGATCATCCGTCAGCTAATAAAATTGATGAATATATGAGACAACCTGAAATAAGTCTCAAAAAAGACCCCTGGTATGGTGGAACTTATATTCAAAAAAATTTTCCGTACTATCTAAATTAGCAAGAAGTTATCTGGCTGTTCCAGCGATATCCACCTCAAGTGAACGTTTATTCAGTGATGCTGGTAACTTAATGACATCAAAAAGAACCTGTATTTCTCTAGAGCTTTTTAAAAGAATGCTGTTTTTAAAAAGAAATATCGATCAATATCAAAATATTTATCCCGAATAATGTATTATCTATTATTGTTTAGCTGACTTTATATAATAATAAATTTATTATTCTTGTATAGAATTTATCGTGATAAAATTATCATTGTAAAAATAAATATGTATTATTTATATTATTGGTATAATCTTCAAAATTTTAATGTATCTGTAAAAAGATAACAAATAATCCGATCTGATCTAATATTAGATTCGGATATATCTGTTTAAATAATATCTGTATCAGATCGGATATAGTCATCTGGATCGCTACTCTACACTATCATATGGCTCTAGACTCATAAATATAAAACTTGCTTTGTTAGTTTAAGTGGACTTATTGATAGAATAATAATGAATGCATGTGATATATCGTTCAAGCAGAATTATACCCAATTAAAATTAGAAACTATCACTATCTGAAAAATAGAAAACACTAATTTATTATTATATCATTAAAATTTTTATAGTTTATAACTGTTTAGCAATTTGAAAACAATTAGGCTGAGAATGAAATATTGTGTAAGTAAATTATTATTTTACAAAGTTGTCTTCACCAGATATGTTATCTTTTAAGCTAGCTATCTACTCTTTCTAAAGCTATACTCTGTATATCATAAAGTGAATATCATTAAGGCACTTAATGACAATAAACTTGATTTAGAGTAAAGTATAACTTAAAGGGTAACAAAACAGGAAATAATATCTGCTATTTGTACTATTCATGTTTTTTTTTGTATTTTGTATTTAATGTATCAGATCATATTTTGATGCATTTTATGCATCTAACTTTACTATTTATCTTTTGATAGGTGATGGCTATTAAATGCTATCCTTATATTACTAATTTAAAAGCTGTACCTTAACATTAGTAAAAATATTAAATAACAGTGCATGTGGATTTTCATAACATACTAAATCTGATTATACCTGTTGTCTTATTCTAATTGTAAAGATATACCAGGAACAGAGTGATATTGAAAATTTCACATGGTTATATAGCAAATTAAATGGTGTTTATATGCAAACTTTTGAATCTTATTGGGTATATACATATGGTGAAGCAAAGATGTGAATGCATATTGAAACTTTGCATATTACATCTTTGCATCCAAAGTAATACTTGCTCTTGTATTTTGTGTTGCATGAGATTGTTTAACTTTAATGTGTGATACCTGATTCAGTAATTTATTTTCTTATAGTCGTTGCTTACTGATCTTGATTACTGTTATACTATTCTGTATATAAAATTAGATCCTAATCCAATTTCTATTATCTGCCAACCTATAACACAATAGGACAGCACTTGAAAATTATATTGTTATATGTTTGATTTCTCAAATTCGCAATTATTTAATATTTACAATCTATTTAGAGATAAACATATAATTATATGTTTTACAGTTTTGAAAATATTGTAATTAAATTGATTTTTTTAGCTATTTGATTTTCTTGTCAGTTAATTTTTCTCCTGCTTAAATAATAAATTATTTGAATATAGTAATTAATTATATTGTTATTTTGAATTATGATATACTAATTCTCTAAATAATTTGTGGTCTTGTTTGCAAATATTTAGTCTTAGACTAGTTAAAGAATGAATTTAAACCCCTTTTAATAACCAGATTGATCTTTACAGTTTTATCCAAATTTAACCCTTTATATAAAATAATTTATCTAAAAAAATGTTAATTAATTTTGATTTGTACCTTACTGATACTAAAAAATTGTATGCCTTTTATATAATAAATATGTAATTATTACTAAAAATAATGATTATTTAATTCTTTTCTCTTATATGTATAGCTATTTGAATTAATAATAAACTACATCTTGCTTTATCATATTAAACATTCAAGTCTTACCACTATCAATTTTTTCTATTCCTGGTTTTGTGTGATAATATCATGTAGCTATCTAGTATTAATATTGAACAAAATTTTGGTAACCTAGTAATGGTAATGATAATAGCTATTTCTGTTTGTTGAGCAAGCCTAGTGATATGCTGCGTACTTTATAGTTATTGTATGGATATGTAGTGAATAACCTAGTTATACATGGGTTCATATTCTGTGCTGAAGGCATGGGATTTAAATATGAACCTGTGTGTATAACTAGGTTATTCATACCTATACAATAACTATTTTATTGCACAGTGTCTGACATAACAATCCCGTGACAATAATTAAATGAAAAAAGCATGGGTTGTTACATAAGATCCATACAATAAAGTACTGTATGTACTATATGTACGTACTGTACATACTGTACATAAGAATTTTTGCTGATTATTTTATATATATATAGTCTGTTTTATGTTAATTAATTAGGTAGCTGCATGACATAGTTGCGATAAAACCAGAAACGGAAAGCTTTATTTGGGATTAGTAAATATACTTAATTACAATATATATAAAAAAAATAATAAAAAGAAAATTTTCAG